TGGAAAGTGCACTAAGAAGTATCCCCGGCAGTTGCTTAAAGAAACTATATCGGGTATTGATGGCTATCCGCTTTATCGGCGACGATCAGTGGAAGATGGTGGTAAAATTGATAACCGCTGGATAGTACCGTATTGTCCGTTACTTTCAAAAACATTTAAGGCACATATCAACGTAGAATATTGCAGTTCGGTAAAATCAATTAAATACGTTTGCAAATACGTCAACAAAGGATCCGACATGGCAGTATTTTCCTTCCGAAATCCAAATGATGAAGTAACGAATTATCAAATGGCTCGATATATCAGCAGCAATGAAGCAGTTTGGCGAATTTTAGGATTTCCAATACATGAACGTCATCCAACTGTTGTTCATCTTGCAGTACATCTTGAAAATGGACAACGTGTGTATTTTACTGAGGCAAATGCACAAGAAAGAGCCTTATCACCACCAAGTACAACATTAACATCATTTTTCGATTTATGTAGAAATTATTTGTTTGCCAAAACCTTGCTTTATGCTGAAGTCCCAACATACTTTACTTGGAACGCATCATCAAAAAAATTCCAACGCCGTAAACAAGGAAAAGCAGTTGAAGGATGGGAAAATCTTTATTCCACAGATGCTATGGGTAGGATATATACGGTTCATCCTCAGAATGCAGAATGCTTCTATTTAAGAATGCTTCTAATAAACGTTCGTGGACCAACATCATTTGAAAATTTGCGCACAGTGGATGGCCAAATATGTGCAACGTATCGTGAGGCGTGTCAAAAATTGCAATTGCTGGAAAACGATGATCATTGGGAAACGACACTTGCGGAAGCTTCGGCTACAAGGCATCCACGCCAATTAAGAGCATTATTTGCAATTATATTGGTTACTTGCTCACCATCTAATCCAAAATTACTTTGGGATAAATTCAAGGAGGATATGGCGGAAGATATATTGCATCAACATAGAGCTGATAATAATGATCCAGCAATGGAATATTCTGATACAATTTTTAATGAATGCTTAATTTTATTAGAAGACAGATGTATGGAAATTAAAAATAAACTTCTCATTGAAGTTGGAATGATCGCCCCAATTCGTCCCATTAGTGATCCCTATGAAAGAGATTTAATTCGAGAAACCGATTACCATCCACAAGAATTGGAAATTTATCTGGGAGAAAATTTGCCAAAGTTACAACCTGAGCAAAAAAATGTCTACGATTATGTAATGGATGCTATAATAAACCAAACCGGTGGTTTACATTTCATAGATGCACCCGGTGGAACAGGAAAAACATTTCTAATTTCACTGATCTTAGCCAGTGTCCGGTCTCAAGGTAATATTGCGTTAGCTATTGCATCTTCAGGAATTGCCGCAACACTTTTGGATGGTGGAAGAACTGCACACTCTGCACTGAAATTACCATTAAAATGGCAATTTTCTGAGGATTACACATGCAACATCACAAAGAATTCATCAATCGGTAAAGTTTTACAAACGTGCAAAATCATAGTATGGGATGAATGCACCATGGCACACAAAAAATCTTTAGAAGCCCTTCACCGCACCTTACAGGATTTGCGGAACAACACAAATTTATTTGGAGGTGCTCTTATTCTACTAGCTGGAGATTTTCGTCAAACTCTACCTGTCATTCCGGGTTCAACACCAGCCGATGAATTGAATGCATGCCTTAAATCATCTTCTCTTTGGAGTCATGTTAAAACTCTTAAATTAACTACAAATATGCGTGTAGCTCTACAAAACGATACATCAGCTTTACAATTTTCTAAGCAATTGCTAGATTTAGGAAATGGAAAAATTCCAGTCAATCCAGCAACAAATTGCATTACATTTCCGCCCGACTTTTGTAAACTGACACAATCTATTGAAGATCTAATTATTTCCATATTTCCAAATATAGACCGTAATTTCACAAATACGCAATGGTTATGTGAACGTGCATTATTGGCTGCTAAAAATGTTGACGTTAACTATATAAACAACATTATCCTGAATAGAATCGGTGGAAGTATAAAAACTTATAATTCAATAGATACCGTAATGGAAGAAAATGATGTCGTCAATTATCCAATTGAATTCCTAAATTCACTTGATCTTCCAGGTTTTCCACCACATGTGTTGCAATTGAAAATTGGTGTACCTATCGTTTTATTGCGAAACATTGATCCTCCAAAGCTATGCAATGGAACTCGGCTTGCTGTGAAAAAATTACACAATAACATAATCGAAGCGACAATCATAACTGGAAAATATAAAGGCGAAAACGTAATGCTACCACGAATTCCAATGATAACGTCCGAACTTCCATTTAACTTTAAACGTTTACAGTTTCCTGTTCGATTAGCTTTTGCAATGACAATTAATAAGTCTCAAGGCCAATCTCTTAAAGTATGTGGATTGAATTTAGAAAATCCGTGTTTCTCACATGGTCAGCTTTATGTTGCATGCTCCCGAGTGGGAAATCCGTCAAATCTTTTTATTTATGCTCCTGACGGAAAAACTAAAAACATCGTCTATCCAAAAGCATTAGAATAATAATTAAGATAATAATATTAGTATTAAGAAAACTATAAGAAAATGTATTTAACGTAGTTGAAAGTTTGTTATAAGCTAGAAATTAACGAATTAAGAAAAATATACTCAATAAATCCAAACCTAAAAAAAATATAGATTTTTTATTTATATATATTTGACATATTTTTTTCTATCATAAAGGCACCGAATCGCACCGGGTTAAACTATATATGTACATAAAATACAAACATATGTACATATATGTGTATTGAAATGAAAAGAAATGATTGACATTACAATTTTTATTTATATCAGTTTGTGAAATCATGTTTATTTTGACAAAAATGTTATTTGGTTAAAAAACAGACAACAATATTGAAAGAAATTATAAATCTTTTGGCCACCCGCCGTAGACACGTTAAATGTCGGGTAATGATCGATCTTAAGATGTGCAAAATAGTTATTTATCCTATTAAGTGTCGTTATCAGTAGTGTTAATGGGATCATATAAATACCAGGATTTACCTAATTTCAACCCTTATAATTAGTATATATTGAAGCTGCATATTGGTTGGTATTCAGAATTAACGTTGATAACTTTAGTAGGTGCAGCGAAGCGCCACGGGTCCAGCTAGTACATATATATATCTAAATCTGAACCGATTCCAACAAAACTTGCCACACGTTGGACTTTTGTGTCATTAGGTCTTTGGTGAACCATTAACTTAAAATCGGACGAAACTGTATATCTGAACCGATTAGGCTATACTAATTTCAGTACGTTTCGTCCCTATGGGCCATATTTTGGGTCCTTGGTGCACCCCTTACATAAAATCGAAGAAAACCATATATAGGAGCTATATCCGACTCTGAACCTATTTTTATGAAGCTTAACACACATCATTCTAGACTTAATTCGGTACGTACGCAAACCAGTAGATACATATATAGGGACTTTGGAACGCCATTTTCATTAAATCGTACAAAAATTCATATGACATCTATATCTAAATCTGAACCGATTTTCACAAACCATAACACACATCATTGTAGTCCTAATTCAGTTCGCTATGTCAAATTTCGTATAAAACAAAATATATATATAGGGACTTTGGTGCACCATTTACATTAAATAGGTCGAAAATATAAATATAAATCTAAACCTGATCCGATTTTGACCCAAATAAATGAGTTGTGCCAAATTTCATCCCATTCGGATGAATAATGCGACCTGTATTTTGTTTACAATTTACATGGACAGACAGACGGACGGACGGCATAGCGTAGTGAATTAAGTCTAGAAAGATGTGCGTTAAATTTCTTAAAAATCGGGACAGATTTAAATATATAATGCACAAAACATACAGAAATAAATGTAAACTAACATGTGACAAGTATAGTTTTCGATATTTTTCTTTAAATTTATTTAAATAATTTTGTTCGATTGTAAGAAGAAACTCCATATCTGACCAAAATTTAGTATAGGTTGCAGAATAGCATGTTTAATTTCATGTTAATGGTCCTTCAAATATGCGACGTCTGTTAGGAAGGTGAAGGGTATTATATAGTCGGCCCCGTCCGACTTTACTACTTTCTTTACTGTTTATACCCTCTACCACACTGTGGTAGAGGGTTAGGAAGGTGAAGGGTATTATATAGTCGGCCCCGTTCGACTTTACTACTTTCTTTACTAGTTATACCCTCTGCCACACTGTGGTACAGGGTATTATGTCTTTGTGCATATGTTTGTAACAGGTAAAAGGAAACGAGACAGACCCATGTTTCCTTTTGAGAATATGCATAGAATCACTTTCTGAGTCAATTTATGCATGTCTGTCCTACCGTCTGTTTGTCCATGTTAAATTGTAAACAAAATACAGGTCACATTTATAATCCGATTTGGATGTAATTTGGTACAGTTCACTTATTTGGTCCAAGGACGAACCCTCTTGAAATTGAAGAAAATCGGTTAAGATTTAGATATAGCTCCCATATATCGAGCCATATTCGCCAAAAAAAAAACGTAAACCTAAAATTTGAAACTTTACAAGAGAAGGTTTGTTTTAATAAATTTAGATTTAACCATATGATACCCTACACAACTACCACGGAAATCTAATTTTCTACGGATCTTTATTCCAAGAATGTGCAGTATTTCGCGATATTTGCACCCTCTTAACCGATTAGAGGGCAATAGTTCCTATTTCTTTGCCATGACATCTATTTCGAATTATGTTTTATTTCATAATATCCATTTTTTCATTTTACACAAAAAGGACTTGACCCGCTGAATAGTGACAGATCATTACAAAAGCCCATCAAATTAGTTGGCCAGATTCATTCTCCAGTGTAATATTTTGCTTATAATAAGTTTGATCCCCATCATCCAAAAATTATTATCTGATCATCACCGCAAATTATAGGCGTTGTCCTTGACCATAACCGGAAATTTTAAAAGCGATCAGCGCTATATTTCCGCCCTAAAGTGTGGTAATCGGTTACTAAATAATTTCTGCATACGTAAGCAACTGTAAATATTTAAGTGTACCTCTCATATCCGACAATATAGTTGGTATCAATTTAAAGGCCAACAACTCCTCTTGGATATAATATCAAGTTCTCGGGTCTATGTCCTTCAGGAGTAAATATATATGCCATAGAATACAAATTTTGTAATTTTTCACACAAAAGTATGGGTCCATTTGACCCGCTAAATATTGACCGATCTTTATCAAAACAGGCATGCTTATTCGTTGGCCCAATCCACTTCTCCATGTAGAAATTCGCGATGTTTGGACCATAATTGCGGCCTCTGGAGCGACCAGAAAATCAGGCAAAACTAAAGTTCTTGGTCCATTTCATCACCTAAATATTAACTGATCTTTCCATCTTCATTGGGCAGAAACCCATCCTACATGCAACATTTCGTGAAGATTGGTCCATAACTGTGGCCTGTATCGTAGACGGACGGACGGACACACATGTCTAGATCCACTCAGCTATTCGAGATATGACGATCGGTATACTTAAAGGTGGGTCGCGGCGTTACAAATTTTTGGGGCTGCACAAAGCTATAATGACCTGACAACATAGTTGTGTAGGGTATAATAAAACTACTATTTTGCTATTTAGATCTATAGTTTAAAACAAAACCAGTTTATAACAAAACTATATTCTAAATTTCAAAATTATATCTGAATTTATTAAAACAAACCTTCTCCTATACAAATTTTCCACAACGTACCGAAATTAGTATAGATAATAGGAAAAAAAACTCAATATACTATGGTAGAGGGTATTAAAAGATACAAATGTACCCGGTTATTGATCTTAGTGTTAAGTACGCTCACATATAGACACATATCACATATTTAATTTACTACGATTTCATGTCAATGGTCCTTCAAAAATGGGAGGTCTGTTAAGATCTATCTCTTGAATATAACCAAAGTGGTAAAGGGTATCACATAGTCTGCCCCGTCCGACTTTACTACTTTCCTTACTGGATTTTGTCATAAACCCAATGCTTTTATTATGGGTTTTCTGGTCCATAGTGCGTTATGTAAAAATATAATACATATTATTAAAGAGCGCTATATCTACGAAAAGTCGTTAAGAAAAATTTATTTAATAACCTCCACTGTGCAGTGGAAATTCGGAATAGCTTAAATCGATCGGTATATTAATATGGGTGCTAAGCCATATTGCTGCAAGGAGAAAACAAATTACGCAATTACAAACAATCAGGTTAGAATATTGAGCTACAAATTTGAATGGCGCCCGACGTCTAATAAAACATTTCTGAAATTCTCAAAATATGAAAAATCTGAAGTACATTTACATATCAATTGATCTTTCTCTTTGGGAAGAATGTACCCTCATTGAAAACCCAATGTGATTCGTCTCCGACGAATATGTTTATATATTTGATATGTTCCCCTCCTTTCGGTTGATTGTAATTTAAAGAAACTCCTTTTAATGTATCATATAAATTTTTATATAATTTACTATTTGTCATCCACAATATAATCCTTGGATAAAATGAGTGTGTGTATTGTACTCTTGTGTTAGTAATTTTTCATTTCGCTTCTTCTTCTTTTGTCACAATTAAAATAATTGTTTGACTAATTTGACACTTTTCGAAATCCTACAATTGAAGGCCTTTCAAAGGGATCTTCTACGGCTTGCAGGCTATTTTAACAATTTACTGCCCTTTTTACGTTTCCTTTGTATTCTTGTTTTCGTTGTTATTGTATGGCAAAATGTCTTCCACAACATGCTTTTCCTTTGTCAAGAACAATAACAACAACAAATTGACTAACTGCTTCGGAAGGATAAAATTGTGTCGTTAAAAAATATTTTCCAAATCAAATGACATATTTTCAGAAGAAAACGGAAATTAAAAATATTTTTTTTAACTAAACATCCTTGAAAATAGAAAACTGATTGAGAAAAAAAAAATGAACAGAAGACTGTGCGAAAATATAATAGCAGCTAATTGATTCGATGAGAAATTTGTAAATAAATTAGTACTATTTGACAAATAATTTTCAATGTGCTAACTGATGTAATTGCAGTTAGCACATTGAAAATGCTAATATTAAGGCTATTTTAAGACTGAATTCTTGGTGATAGATTGCAAGAATGGGTATCGTTAGGAGAAATTATTTTGGAGAAAATATCCTAATCATTTTCAATGGAGGAGAACATATCTTTGTTAGGTCCATACTACGATAATCTTACCTGCTGAT